GCCTTGCTTCCACACAGGAAGTACAATTCTTGTTCCTCAGTGGTTATGTAATTATAACAGATTAAATGACATTTATTCCAGTATAAAACTCTTTGGAGGTTATGATTGTGTAATAGATTTATCCAATATATCCTGGTAAAGAGGAGAGCAGAGTCTGTGAATCTTTTCAAATAGTTATAATAGCCAGAGACTCTGTGAAAATATTTACTCCTCTTTTCTAAGGGTTAGTGGGAACAAGAGATCATTAAGAACTATTTCTTTTCAGTTTGCATAAGCATAGTTTGCTAAGTTGAGGATTATCCATAGACCACAAAGTTGGCGAATAAGTAAAAATGAAAGAGAAAAGAGCTTTCTTATGCACATCAGAAAACAGAACATTCAAAACAATCCACCAGTATTATAAAACAAATAACCATGATTATATTTCCCTCATTAGCTTATTAAGCTTATGTGATTTATTCTTGACTCACAAATCTGCAGTGTACTTCCGTGGCCATTTGCTTCTGGACTAAAAAGTGTCCTAGCAGTCCTAAAATAGCCCTATGGTTTAGTTTATAGATGTCCACTTGGGGTCAGTGAATGCTGAGAAGCCTGGCTCCACATGTCTCTCCCAGTTAAGAGTCACTCACTGCTGCAGTGTTTTCTGTGAAGGCACAGGGGCTGTCTTTGTTGAAGACTCTAGCACAGGTCTTCAAGGCAAACATGAAAAGAAAGCAGAAGCCATCTGTTGTTGATTAAAACGAAGTTTCTATTAGTTTATTACTGTAGACAATTATATCAGAATAGGGTGAATAAAACCCTTTGTTAGTATTTCCTCAAAAGCAAGAATATACTGTGGACATGGGGAAAGTGACATATGTATTTAAAAAAGTAACATAGGGAAGTGTGCTAGTCAGCTGGGACTAATAGAGCTGGCCAGACCAATTTTAGAGGAGGAAAAATTTGGTTGAGGGCTCACGGTTTTAGAGGCCTTAGTCCACAGAAGGGCAGCTTCCTTCCTTGGTGCTCAAAGTGAGCCAAAAGAGTATGGTGGAGGCAAGCAACTCCCATGTTGATCAGAAAGGAGAGAGAGAGAGAGAGAGAGAGAGAGAGAGAGAGAGAGAGAGAGAGAGAGAGACACTCCACTCTCCAGGTACAAAATGTATACTCCACAGCTATGTCCCCAGTGAACCACTTCCTCCAGCCACATCTCACCTGCCTCCATGTACCAGCCAGTTAATCCCATTAGGAATTAATTCACTGATTAGGTTAAAGCTATAACCCAATAATTTCTCCTCCAAAACTTCTTGCATTGCCTAACACATGAGTTTTTTTGGGGAAACCTCACATACAAGTCACAACAGGAAGATAAACATTATTTTTTTATTGGACAGCATGTCTGCTTTTGTGGGCTTAATATGTAATGCAATTCTTAGATTATTAGCCAGTCAAGAAATATGGAGCATATAAACCATAGCCAGTTAATACTAGTATCCCTCCTGCTTGTGAATGACACATATATGTCATAGGTAGATACTAAAATATTAAGCCTTTATTATTTGAGCTAACTGGGAAGCATCAAAGATGGTTTGGCATGTAAAAACACATTAACAATTACACCTTTCTAAATTCTGAAACTGAATCTGGGAAGAAAGCCTTAAAAATAATAATAAAAAAAACCCCATCACTGACCTAAAACAAAAATGTATATGCTGGGAAACAATGAATGATTGTAGCTTTTCTAGTTATTAACCAGAATGACAATATACTATTGCTAGATAAATATAACTGGAGGTGAAATGAGAAGGAACTTTAGCTATTTCACAATTAGGGAACTTTTCTGTTGTTTTGTTTTTAAATAATCAATGGTATGATGAAGTCAGCACAAAGCACAGAAGGTTATTTTGGTTTGGGTATACAATATCTGCTATTTGGGCAGATTACACAGAAGTTAAAATAACTTTTACTATCTTTTGTTAAGAACAAAGTGAATGTTCCAAGACTAATTTGCTATTTTCCATAGAGAAAAAGAAAACCAAATTCTGTTTATGCATTACAATTGAATAACAATTGAAAGTAAAGGATTCATAGTCCTTGAATTTTTTTTATGAGTAAGCCTATTAAAGCAGAGCCAATTTAGGCAGTTTTAATGCATTTCATTATTTCTTTCCAGACTCATTACTTGAAAGTATTATAAACCAAAGAAAACAATGGTTTTCTTTTCCTCAATTTCTACAGCTTGCCCATTCAAATTTTGTCTTTTACCAATCTTTCACATTCTGGCATATTTACTTCCAGACAAAACTACTCACTTTTCCCCTTTATGACTCAAACCATATGCATAATTGTACATACACATTCATGTTTCTTAGCTACTTCAATTCTTAGTATAGTCTCAGGCCCAGAAATTGTCACTTTTAACCAAAGTGGCCTATCTATCTCTTATTTCTTCTCTGAGGTAACTCTAGGCAAGTAACTGAGTATGGTTTGAAATATGAATCAAAAGCAATTTTTATAAAACTTTCCATGGCCACACATCCCTTCTACACTTCTTAAAGTAATAAATGGAATACATATACTAATATAACCCAAAGGTTGTCCACTCTCAAATACATAAAAATGAGAGGCCAAGCTGTACACATGTGTGTGCATACTATGTTTGATGAATAATGTTTTGTAGTCTAGTTTCCTTAGAAATAAGTTAGATGATATTAGTTTGGAAAATTATAAACAATATAAAGCAAGATGATGGGATAGAGTGATGGAGAGTGTTTTTTTTTTTTTTTTTTGTACCAGGGATTGAATTCAGGGGTACTCAACCACTGAGTTACATCCCCAGCCCAATTTTGTAGTTTTATTAGAAATAGGGGCTCACTGAGTTGCTTAGCACCTCGCTTTTGCTGAGGCTGGCTTTGAACTCGTGATCCTCCTGTGTCAGGCTCTGGGATTACAGGTGTGTGCCACTGCACCTGGCTGGAGAGTGTTTTATTATGGAGATTACAACTAATATAAATTTATTAGATGTAGGCTCAATAAATGAAGATAATTCCTGTTCTTCATGCCTAGAATGTTTAGGAGTTATTTAATAAATAAATGCATGAATGAAACATTTACTCACAATAATTGTATTAAGAGGAATAGTTCTCATTTTACTAATTTACAAGTTAGAAAATGAGGAATTAATGATTCTTTAACTACTGAGAGACAGACTCAGAAAATTGGTTTCCTCGATTCCATTTTGATGTGTCACTTTATTCTCAATTGAATATATAAATATACTTGTATAGGTGAAAAAGGAAATGTAAAGGTCTTAGGTAGATCTAACTTAAAACAAGTCTAGCTGAGGCTGCAGACAGAGCTGTAAACTTCCCACAAGACATTCAAACTGTCTCTTGGCTTGTGTTTTGGGTACCAGAGTGAATCAATATTAAAAAGATGTTAATACTCTGCTAAATGGAAAAAGCAGACTAAGCATGGCTGATACTGGCTCCAGTCTGGGGGCCTCTGCATTGTCCCAGAGGGAAGCCAGCATTCATGTTAGGGTCACATTCAGTTATGAACTGTCCACCCAAAGGATCCCATCCACTTCTACCAGGGAACACTGTAATAAATCAATATTGTCTTCCTTTAACTTATTTTTTTCTTATTAAATGAGAGTTTTGTATTGAAAAATTTAGAATTGGGTTGTACTTGTTTTAGGGTGCCATTATTTTCTCTATGATTAAAACATGCCGTTAGCCAGGCGTGGTGGTGCAGGCCCGGAGTAATTCCAGCAGCTCAGGAGACTGAGGCAGGAGGATTGAAAGTTCAAAGCCAGCCTCAGCAATTTAGAGAGGCCCTAAACAACTTAGCTAGACCCTATCTCAAAATATAAACAAACAAACAAAAACAACAACAAAATAAACAGGCTGGGGATGTGGCTCAGTGGTTAAGTGCCCTGGTTCAATCCCCAGTACCAGCCCCCCCCCCAAAAAAAACCAAAAAAACAAAAAAACAAAAATAGAAACATGCTGTTGGATGATAATCCTTACAATTTTTGTCAAATCACTTCTCACTTCTATCTCATTCATCCTCATTGCCCTCCCTCTAAAAAATGACATGGCATGAGGTAATGATTTGGTGTCATTTCTGCTGACTTCATCTGTGAGTCAGAGGAAATGATAGCAGGTAAGTTCAGGGCTTACATCATCTCAAATTTAGGCCTGGGTAGGTCAGTATGGTTCTTGTTAAGTAGGTAAATAACTGGGCTCCAGGACTTTTCACTGGAAGTCAAAACTTATGCTTCTTTATTTCAGAAGAGTAAGATTGAAGTAAACTCTGATGTGGAATTAAGAAGTGTGGGTGGGTGCTGAGGTGGGATGGGAGTCCTCCCTCATTCCATAGATTGTGTGTGTGTGTGTGTGTGTGTGAAGATCCAGTTAATGAATTCCCCTCCTAACCAAGGCATTAACAAGGAAATTGCAGAACTGGCATGTCTGTGTGGAAGATGGGCCATGAATAAAGAGATGGGAAGCCGAATTTCAATGGGCCTCTGACCACCTTGGACTTCATTGTTATCGCAAACTAATCAGGAAGTCTGGAGTTTCCATATGGCAACCAAGCAGCTTCACACTGGTCAATCCTTAAAAAAGGCCTGGGAGACAGGCCTTATTATCCTCTTACAGAGAGAGTGAACAGAGAGGCAGTCTCCTAAGGATCCTACACGCAGCATACTGCAAAGCAGGAACTCTTTTGAGTCCTGGCTTCAACATCCAACCCTCACTAGACTTTCCCACGTCTAGACTGCAGCTGGAAAAGATCTTGGACACGCTGTAGACCAACCCTGTCTGCCTACAATAGAGTAGAGCTGGAGAAGCCAAGTGACTTGTTTAAGGCCACACAGCGAGTGACGACGGGAACCTGAGACTCCTTTCTTTCCCTTGAAGGTTCCTTTTTTTTTTTTTTTCTCCCTCTACCAGTCAGCGAGGGAGACTGGGGAGGAGCTGAGCAAGGTTTGCACCCAGGCTGGGGGCCGTGGCTTTCCGGGGGCGGTCCTCAGAGGCCCGGCATTCCACAGCCACTCGAGCGCCGCGCGCTGGGGGTTGAGCGCTGTCCTAGCAGTGCGGGAGCGCTCCAGGGCTGCGAGGAGCCGGGACTCGTTCCTGGCGCTGGCTGGGTTGAGGTTCTAGGGCTGGGGGCCGCTTCCGGCTGCCGGATCCCGCTTGATCCTGGAGACCTGGAGAAGCGCTGGGCAATCCCGGCGCCAGGAACTTTCCGCAGACCTGCTGCGATCCGGCGGTGGCGGGGGCCTCAGGGTTTGAAAGCAGCACCGCGGCTCCGGGGTGAGTGAGGCCATGGGGTGTGGATTGTGGGGCTCCGGTGGAGCGAAGTTCTTAGCTGCTCCTACTCCAGTTAAGTGCCCTCCCAGCGCTCCTCTTTCTGCCCTCGCCTCCCTCATTTCTTCCCCTTCACTTTTGCATTTCTTCCTCAACAATCCCCCCTTGTGCTGCCAGCCCCTAAGTCCCAGCCACATTTTGCACACAATCTTGGGCCCTTAGGGAGGCTGGAATTTGGATCGGGAGCCGCAGCTTTACTCGCAGAAAGGCTGCTCCCAGGGTTGCCCTGCTCCAGCGATTTCGGAAAGCGGTCCCCCTCCTCCGGCAGAGGCTGCCCCTCCTGGCTCCCCTGGCCCGCCGTCAGGGCTCAGCCACTCAGCCTGAATGCGCTTGGCCACTGCGCTGGATTTTGTCTTTGAAGCCGAATCAGCGGGCTGTCTGTCCAGCTTTTCTCAGAACTCCACATAGAAAGTGCTGGGAGTTTGGATTGATGGGTTCTAGCCCCAGTGGTGTTCCTAGCTGCTTCACCATTATCTGTCTGTGTCTTGTTTCTCCATCTGTGAAGTGAAGAAAACACACTTTGCTAACTGAAAGCAAGGAGAAGGTATCTTGGAAAGGAGCCTTTCTTCCAAGTTCCTTCCTCCTCCAGGTTAACTGCTCCTTAAGTTAGAATGGCTGGTTCTTTTAGAATCCTTGCCCCCACCCCCACCCCTCCCCCATTTATTGAGTGTCGCACTCCCCATCTGTCCTTATTTCTGAGCCATCCTCAGCACTTGGCACAGAACAGGGTAAATTGTAGCGCTCAATACATGCTCACTGTGTGAAAAGACAAAAGATGTGAGCCACGAAAACCTGAGCAAATGTCAGGAGTTGTTATTCGGACTGAATGGGCTGGCCTTTCATTCCCGCAGCCTCCCCTTCCCTTCCTGACGGGTAGTTATCCCTGGCTCCTGAGGGCTGATGATTCTCTGGATTGTGTAGACAGTGAAGCAGGCTCCAGTAGAGGAAGCTGCTCAGTCATTAACTTATCAGAGAGTCCTAGAACATCTGCTATGAGCTGTGGTGTCACAGCCAGAAGGTTGGTGAACGTCTGATTGAAGTGGGTGGGGGTGGGAAGAGCAATTCTCTGTGGGTTAGGAGTTTCTCTGAGTTACCATGACTTAGGAAATTTGCCCTTTCTGGACTTTATCTTCCCTGTCTGTAAAATGGGAAGTGGGAGTGGGGCAGATGTGTTATTGTGGGTGAGCATAGCGTGCTCTGTGGGTTGTGTGGTGCACCCATCAACCATCTGAACACACAGGAGACAGCCTTAGGACTAGCTTTAGGACAATCTGAACTTTTTCAGCGAGAACAGAAGAAACTACAAAGTGCTTCTCTGTTCTAGTGGAGACATCCTGTTTCCAGGTCTTGTGGGTTGTGAATCATGCTGTGGGGTGACAAGGCATGCTCCATCAAGCTCCCACACTGACCTTTCAGGACCTCAGAACTGTGGGGCTCCATTTCTCACAAAGTCTGGGGATTCCCCCTTCCTTGTGTAACTGGAGGAGACTGGAGCTGTGATGAAGTGTTAGAGACACAAAACAAATGACAGGCTCTTGGGGGCTGTGGTTGGGTCAGATCCTGGGTGACAGAACAAGAGTGTAAGGGGTAGTCACAGCCCAGATCATTCCCAGCTGTTTTCTGATACTCCTCTAAACGTGTACTTCTGTTTCTTCTCTATGGATTAAAATATACAAATGAAGGATATATCTCTAAAAAAAAAATCTTTATTTTGGTTGTTCTTACACTATTGTCAGTGGGAAGATAGATGGACTCAAGTTTTACTCTCCAATGTTTCTAGAAATAAGTCTTGACATCACCACACTCTGCAGTCCCCCACCCACATTGTCCAGGCATGCTGAATGATGGAATCATAATTCTACGTGACATACCATGAGCCAGGCATAATTCTTTTTTTTTTTTTCTTTTTCTTGGTCCTGGGAATTGAACCCAGCATTGCTTAACATCCACAGTCCTTCAAACTTAATTTTTTTTTGGTACTGGGGATTGAACCCAGTGGTGCTTTACCACTGAGCCACATCCCCAGCCCTTTTTATTTTGAAACAGGCCTCACTAAATTACTTATGGCCTTGATAAGTTGCTGAGGCTGTTCTCGAATTTGTGATCATCCTGTCTCAGCCTCCCAGGTTGCTGAGATTATAGGCACGTCCAACCTCACTCATTTGGTCTTGACCACAGTTCTATTAGGGAGGGATGATCATTCCCTCCATTTAATAAATGAGGAAACTGAGCTCCAGAAAGAGGAAGCAACTCATCCATGATCACACAGGAAGTGGCAGAGTGAGGTTTGAGTCCAGGCAGTCTGACTTCAGGATCTGTCCTCTGAACTTCGTTGGAATTTGGGGGAAGCAGGATTCAGATCTTGCCTCTGTTACTTACTTGCAGGATGACCTGGGGGAAGTCAGGTGACAATTTGACAGTGTACTAGAAGGTCACTAACCCTAGTCCCCTTATAGCTCTTTAGGGAGGCAGAAGGGGAGTCTCAAGAGAGAATGGAATGGTAAAGTCTGTTGGGTAGCCAGGAAGGGGAACAGGTGAGAATTAGAATTGCCTGGCATATTAAGCCACAGCAAGCCAGATTCAAACTGAGTACATTGCTTGATTGTGTGTAGCTTTCTTATTTTATTCATTTGTACTATGATTAGCTGATGGATCTATGTTTTGCTGGTGACCCCACCATACAAGATCAGGGTGAATGAAATAGAGGAGGAACAGGAGATGCAGAGAAAATTGAATTTTCCAAATCAGTTTCAACTAATGATGACAAGTGTCTGGGACACTTGTCACTACTTCTGATCCCTTCTCAGACAGACCTTGATGATCAGAACTTTTCATCTTATCTCCACAAGGCCCTGAAAACTTAAAAAAAATGTTTTGATTATACATTATAATTATATATAATAGTGGGCTCATTTTGACATATTCATAAATGCATATAATTTCCTCCATTTCAATCCCCAGTACTTCCCATTTTCCTGTCCTCTTTCCTCCCCCTGATCCCCTTCCTCCACATTAGTGGTCTTCCTTCTGTTTACTTATTGCTTTTTAAAAATTGGTACATTAAAATTATACATAAAAATGGAATTCACTGTGATGTATTTATACATGCACATAATTTGGTCAATATCATTTCACAGTTCCTTTCCTTTCCTATTCCTCCTCTCTCCTCTATTCCCTTCCTCTACTGTCCTCCCTTCTGTTTTCATGAGATTGCCTTTTTTAAATTCCTTGCTTCTCTCTTTCTTCCAAATAATGAGAGAATCTGATTCCTGACTTTCCTTTTTTTTTTTTTTTGGGTACTGGGGATGGAATCAGGGGCACTCTACCATTGAGCTACATCCCAAGTCCTTTTTGATTTTTGATTAGTGAGACAGAGTCTCACTAAGTTGCTGAGGTTCTTGCCACGTTACTGAGTTTGGCCTCAAACTTGTGATCCTCCTGCCTCAATCTCTTTAGTTGCTGGGATTATAGGTGTGTACCACTGACCCTTGATTTTCTGAGTGTGGCTTATTTTACATAGCATAATGTTTTCCAGATTCATCCATTTACCAGCAAATAACATAATTTCATTTTTCTTTATGACTGAGTAGAACTCCACTGAGTATATATACACTGTACTTTCTTTGTCTGTCCATTTGTTGACAGACATCTAGGCTGGTTCCATAACATGACAATTGTGAACTGCACTTTAGGTATCACTGGGGACTTCTGGTATCACTAAAGTATGCTTCTTTCAGTTCTTTTGGATAAATACCAAGGAGTAGCATAGCTGGGTCATATGGTGCTTTCATTCGTAGTCTTTTGAAGAATCTCCATACTGCTTTTCAAGGTGGTTGTTCATAGTTTGCAGTACTACCAATTATCTATATGTGTTGTTCTCTCCCCACATCTTCACCAATGTTTGTTTATATTCTTGATGCTTGCCAATCCAATCCAAACGGTGTGAGATGAAATCTCAGTGTAGTTTGATTTGCATTTCCTTGACTGCTGAGGATGTTGAACATTTTTTCATATATTTGCTGGCCATTTGTACTTTTGAGAAATGGCTGTTTACTTCATTTGTCCATTGATCGGCAATAATTATTTGTTTTTCTGGTGTCAAGTTTAAGTTCTTTTTTATTTCGGATATCAGTTCTCTGTCAGAAGAGTAGCTGTAAAAGATTATCTCCCATTCTACTGATTCTTTTTTCATGCTTGTAATTGTTTCCTTTGCTGTGGGGAAGCTTTTTAATTTGATGCCATCTCACTCACTGACTCTTGGTTTTATTTCTTGAACTTTAGGAGTCTTATTAAAGAACTCAATGCCTATATGTTGAAGTGTTGACCCTGTGTTTTCTTCTGGCAGTTTCAGTGTTTCTGGTCTAATATTTAGATCTTTGATCCACTTTTGTGCAGAGCAAAGAGATAGGGACCTATTTTTATTCTTCTACATATTCAATTTTCCCAGCACCATTGGTTAAATGGTGCTTTTTGTTTTTTTGGTGTTTAATGTTTTTTGGTGCCTTTGCCAAAGGTCAAATGTGTGGGTGTGTCTCTGTGTCTTATTCTATTCCATTGATCTTCATGTCTATTTTTATAGCAATACCACCTTATTTCTGTTCCTATAGCTCTTCAGTATAATTTGAGTTTGAGTATTGTGATAAGATCTCAAAATCTTTAGCTCCCTGCTCTGGACTGCTTCTACCAATTGAAGCTGGAGCCTTCTGCTGGCTTTCCCAGACTTCCCACTTTATTCCTCTAAGGTAGTTCAAGAAAGAAACAAATGGCAGAACAGGAGAACCTCTGTTTAGTGTCTTAGACGTTATCTTAGGAAACATCTTGGAGCTTTTTAAAGATTGCTTTTCTCTTTATTTCACTCTCTTCTGTTTTTTCTTAAATGTTTTTCAACCCAATTTCATCCTGGAACCAGGGATAAAGCTGTGGTGGAGGCAGAGTGTCATGAGGGT